CCCCAAAACCCCAAAACCCCAAAACCCCAAAACCCCAAAACCCCAAACTGAAATTAATATTGAAAATACCTGCATTGGTGATATAAATAAAATTTTATAATATGTCGAGGATTATTCCAAACTCAATAGATAATGTAAAAATCAAGTAATATTCTCTATTTTATACTTCCGTACAATATTTCTAGACCAATTAAGAAACAGATTCAAGATTTAAAGATTAAAAAACAAAACAAGTCATTACATATGAAGACTTCTTTCAGAAAAGCATATAACAAGGCAATAGATAAACTGAATAGTTCAACAGAGAGTCAGACTCATACTGATAGATATTCATCCATCAATATTAACGACAGTATCAACACCTCTCTTCGCCAAAATCAGAACCACAGATATTCGTATCTGAATCCAAACTCTGTGCTTCAAGGGCACTCCATTCTCAAAGACACTTCATTACTTAAAACAGAGAGGATTAAACAGAACAGCCAAGACTTAATAAACCTCAATGTTAAATAAAGAAATAGAAAGTAGTGGGCTTTACAAGTCAAAGACTAAATTTGAGCAAGAAATGGAAGCAATGAAGATTATTAACCCTCTAAAAGCTCCTCCCCAAGTTGTCTATCAGAACTTGAAGCAGTCCACTAAAGTATTTTCCTTCCAACCTCCAACGATAAAGGTACTTTTCATAAATTTTTGATCCTTAATTTTAAATCATACAATTCTCTGCGAAGCACATTCCAGCATGACTGCAAGAGTAACAGAGGCGAAGATAGCTGATTAAAATGATAGAGATCACTTATTTCTACCTTCAATAAGCATTTTATACCAAAAAAGGCTGCTCTCTCAGTCTCAAATCTCCCATCTCTACCAACCCTATTCCTCCCTTAACTCTCCTCTAACCCACCTAGCCTCCTCGTGCATCCCCTCGCCCTCTGGGTCTCCACCGCCATTCAAAATCCCTTCCCCAACTAAAACCCCTACTGCCTAGTCCAAAAGCAGAGACTCCTCACTGGGAGAAAGTGACCACTATAAAATCCATCAAACCTCTTCGCTTAAAATTGCCCAAAGATAACCTTCCTCAGCCCAAGGTACTTCCAAGACCCATGCCAGAGAGGGGTTGAGCCCCTGAAGACTGCAGCTTAAGGAGTGAAGGTAAGGACTTACCGAGGGAGGGTGAAATTAAGGAACACAGAAGAAAAGGTTTAGAGCGATTTAGTGAGTTTATATAGGAGAGAAGAAAGAAGTCAAATTACCAAGTGTAAAGAAGAGATGGATCCTTGATGGGTTCATGATTATGAACAGATTTGAATTTGATACGCCTGAAGAGGCAACGGTGGTTAAGATTATCGGAGATAACTTTAAAACTACAGATGATAAGGCTGATCTTCTTAAGTCAGGAATAAGGCAAGCTAATGTTATTTGATCTTTATAGTATTTAACGATGTCTTTGTGGATGATATGAAATTTTTCATAAATCTGATACATCTTGACTTAAAGGGAAATCATCAAGTTCCAATGCATAAATTAGTAGATTTAATCCATTTGAAGCATCTTGATCTAAGCTTTAATAAACTGAAGAAGATCAGCATCAAAAATGGATTTAAGTTTTTAGAAGTATTGAATCTTGGATTTAACAAACTAAGCCAAAAGAGTCTAAAAGAGATAACAAGCCTTGCTAAAAATCTGAAGAAATTAAATTTAGAGGCCAACGAATTAACAGATTTGCCAACACAATTCATAAAGTTTCAAAAACTTAAGGATCTAAACTTGGCAAATAATCTGCTCAAAAATAGTATTGAAAGTGTACTTTGACTAGAGGATAGTAAACGAGACTTTGAAGAGTCTAATTTTACTCTTTTCGACATTTTAAGCAAGATATGGCCTTTGAAACATTTAAATGTATCTAACAATGCTCTTAAAGGAATTTTTATTAATGATTATACTACCTAAAGAAGAACATTCTCAATCAGCTAAAGACATATTTCCAAACCTGATAGAACTTGATATCAGTCATAATAAGATTGACAGCGAACAGAATCTAATGATATGTACAAAATTACAAAGTATTCAAATGGTAGATATCTCTGAAAATCCTTTGTCAAACAATCATCCAAATTTATTCAAACAATTAAAAGATTCTCTGCATAAAAACGTTTCATGCCATCTTAAGACAGAAAACCATTCTAAGGACTTAAATCTGACTTTTAAAATAAAATCTCAAGCAAAAGCGATGAAGAGGAATGGTCAGAGTTTCAGCTTGCCTAGGCTAGTTAAAATAAACTTAAAGCCTAGTTTACAAGAGTACCCAAGACCCCCAGTGATAAAGACTAAAGAAGTAACAATTTACTCTGATTAAAATAGTTTAAAAGGAAGAAAAAGAAGACAAATTTCAAACTCCAGTACCAAGATGCTGTCTCTTTAACTCTAAAAGAGATAGAAGTTGACTCCAACAAGATTTTCCCTCCAAAAGAGAAAGGAAATCATGAGGATAACTTGTTCTCTAATACTGAGCTAAAAGAAGACAATAAAGATGAGTTCTTTTTAACACAAGAAAACTCTCATCAACAATGGGGTAAGCAAGAAACTACTTCTATAGAGCCGAAGAACACATCAATGAGCCGCTCTTTCTCTCAGAAGAATTTTGAGTCTATCAAGGGAAATATAAGCAACCAGAGTATTGAAGAGAAGGAGGTCCTTAAACTTCTTCTTCAAAATGAACCTAAACAGAAAAATGAGTCATCGTATGTTGAAATGGATAGTGAATTTATGCTCAATAACCCCAAGGCAAACACCCAAGAGTTCGGCAATATAAAGATTAACACCATGAATGAGTGGGCAAGACTGAGTTTGTTAGATCATGATAAGCAAATTAACTATAAGGGTACTAACCTTCCAAGTATGAGAAAATTAGCCAATGAACTCAAAATTATTATCAAGAAGACTGACTACGAGTATACTGAGAAAAAGAAGACAAAATCTCATCTTAAGGAAAGTTTGAAAGCAATGGAATTTTTGTTACAAAAGAATGCTTTTGATCTCTTAGCAATAAAAGATCAATCTAAAGAACTCTCTTCAGTGAGCGACCTAAAGCCCACTCCTCTTATGGTATGATCCATGATAACAATTATAGGAAGAATTGAAAAAGAACTTCTTACCCTTACAAGTCCTCAAAACAGGAATGAATCCTCTTAACACTGACCTTCTTCACAAGGAAGTAGAGAGGTGAGGGATCATAGTAGAAAAGTACCTAAAAATGGAGGATATAGAAGACGTTATAGAAAGCTTTAATTCTCATAAGAGCAAAACAAAATAAAAATTCAATATTTCTTGTCTAAAGAGGGGTTTTGGGGTTTTGGGGTTTTGGGGTTTTGGGG